TGGGAGGGAAGCGGATGCATCAGCCAGATGTGGAGCGGTTTGGGGGGCGGGGTGCACATAGGGGTCCGTGGTTAGGCTTAGATCAATAAAGCAGACACATAAAGCTGCAGCAGAGAAAGTGCAGGATGTTTCATTCTATGCAAACGACTCCACATACCAGTAAGGAGAGCCGGCAATTGTCACGTGAAACACACACACACAATCACACACACACACACACACACACACACAAAAGGCATTAAATTGATGTTGCAAAAAGCACAAGATATGCTGTGGGGTTAGTCCTGGGGCCACATGAGAAATCGGCTTTATTACAGAAATGCGCAGGTAATAGTGAGTGTGTGGAATAGCTGTAGTCTGGGCGAGAGAGTGGGGGTGTGACATGTGAGCCTATGGTAATGAGAGAGAGAGAGAAAGAGAAAGAGAGAGAGAGAGACGCGGGTGGACAGTGTGATGCTGTGCGTTATACTGGCTAAATGAGGGTTGTCTTTCCAAGTTCAGTCAGCAGGGCTTCTCCACCCTTCGAGCGAGGATCTGTAATTTACACGACAACAGCAGGGCGCCTGTCGGATCTCCATTGGACTCTGCGCTGGATCTCCCACAGCACTGCCACTGCTGCTGCTTCTCCATCACCAAACCCTCAACGCCGAAGGACGAGAAGAAGATCTGATTTCCGTGCCATGTGCAGAACGACATGTATGTGTGATTTCATGCGGTGACAGTGGAGGGGAATGGAGCAGTTGTCATCAAATTCCTGCAGACGCACCGACGGTGATACATTGAGGGCTGTCGTGTAGAGAGAAGACCTTCATACGCAGCAGCCAATCCGAGAGATACATTTTTATTGCCAGCGAAAAGGATCGTTAGTCAGGTCGCCTTCCATGTCATCCACAACAATGGGGTAAGTGTGATTATTATCCCACAGGCTGACTTAGTCCCCTTTCCCTCCTTTCTGCATTCATATCAGCTGCGGCTGCCTCACAGGGTATGAACTTCCCTGTCATGGAAACCACACCAGGCATAACACGATAATGACCTGGGTGTATGCCTTAAAATGTATCTCTCTGTCTAACATGACGTCTAATAAACCTAATGGTGGATAGTTCAGGTAGTGCTGTGGTGGTGAGCCTTGATGTGCTGTACACTAAAACCACAAATTCTGACATATAATGAAGGAACTTTATTCCTCTTTCCTCTCAGAATATGCTGTTTGCCAGAATAGAAATGCACATTGGGCCCAACATGCTGAGACACAAATGCTAGTGCAGAAGTTGCCCCATCATCAAACTTTTATGATTGAAATAGTGATTCTCAAAGTGGGACTAGCAGTGGGTCCCACAGGGTTTTTTTTAGGGGTTCTTACCTTAATGAAGCAAAGCTTAAATTCCCTAATATTGCAGAACAATGAGAGAGTGATTTAAGATGCTGTTTCTTCTAGGTCTCTCTGTCCCACCGTTTACTCCCCACCTACATTACCGACAGTTATGTAATTCTTAAAGAAGGCATGTGTAACAACAGCATTTCTTCTCAAGTATGCTCAAACAGAGATCTGTGGTCTGGTGTACTGTACATCCTGTTCTGGGTCCTGCTCTAGAGAAGGTTTCAGAACAGTTTAATGTCAGAGCAAGGGAATGTAAGTAGCTACAATGCCGCACAAGGCTTTAATGACAGAGAGAGGCTTTCTGTCTCTATGGCAGCTCAGTGACCGCTACCTTACACATCCTCAACAACAGGCACCCATCAGTGAAATATCCGCCTACTGCACAGCGCTGCTCATTTGCATGTCCCCTAACCCTGCGCTCAGCGGTCCATTTCCCCCACCAAGCTTGCCGTCCATTAACAGCTGTCTCCCGCAGTTCATTGTGATTAATTGCACAGCAGGAGGTTAACAATATGGCACAGGCATGGTGCGATTTCAAGGCATCAGCCAAAACTCTTGCATTAACTATTTACAATACACTGGAGGCTTCCCAGGGCCCACTCTGCCCTCCTACAGTGTGGGCAGCACATCATTCAGCGGTCTCCCACTCAGCTTCAGCTCTCCACTGGGCTCTGCCACACTGGTGACTAAGTTACTGTTATGCAACTGACTCAATGACTCAATTGATCTACAATAGAATAAATTGTAAACTGTGATTCAAAGCACTATGCTGCATACAGTGTGTGTATTAAAGTTAGAATATATGTGCAGGTGCAGATGAGATGAAAGAGTACATATGTGTAGATCTGTTGTCTGGCTACCTGCCTAGCAGTAATGGCACAGACAGATAGAGTCATATTTCACTTCTGGCCTCATGGCTGAATATCAAGCCAGTTACAGCTCTAATGGTAATGGCACAGAGAAGAACATTAGTGTTGGATGAGAACTGGAGATGCCTATCAACACTGTCTCTGGTGCGCTCTCACTTCCTTGGGCAAATACAATCAGTGCACAGACGGACTTGGTTTCTCTCTTTGTCTTTGCTGTTTGTGTGGGTGTGTGTGAGAGAGAGAGTGTGTTCACAGGCACATCTCAGGTCATCCAAGCCGCTCCCAGTAGGTAGAGCAACAGGGAGCTCTCTCATTAATGACATCTCTACCTTAAATAAGATCTACTTGCCTTCAAGCTCTTCTCCGTTAAATTAATGAAAAACTCTGGAAACAGGGACAACTTTTAGAAGGAGGTAGGGTGGAGGTGGAGGTGTCATGGGAAAGTGAGATCTCTTGAGATGGACCATTTATTATGCTTCTGTTTCACTGTCAGTGTTTGCAGGAAAAGGGGCAGCAGCACAGTTAAAGGGGACACACTGAAGTAGAAAATAATGCAGCCTTTTATGGTATAAGTGATGTGCATGTGTGTGACCAAATGACTGAGTTTTCACATCTGTGCATCAAACCCCTGAAGCACAAGATGTGCTATTGGTAACACCTGTTGCCGCTCCTGGAGCTGCGGATATGTGTGTGTATGTGTTTATATGAAATGCCCGTAGGCATTGGTACAGTGTTGTTCAATGATCAATACTTATGTTAACACGTGTAGAGTTGAGGTGTGTGCCATAGCTCAACATATTTTAAATAGTCGGTTCACCCCGGTTACAAGATACAACAAGCAATGATAACTAGCCATGCAGGAAGTTTTTGTTTCATATTTTATTTGACCCTGTTTACACCCTTTTGTAAGGCATGGCCCATCTCTGTAAATAGTTTTCATTTTCATTTTCTGTAGTCGAAAACAGTTCCAATACAAACTGTTCCCAGTAGATTACTAAAAGTAACAGGGACATTGTTTCTGGGAAGATGTATTACCGTTTAGGTGTATTTTTCGTTCACTGTCATTAGGTTGGAGGAAGAAATATCTTAAAACAAATCAAAACTGTTATGGTTAGATACCACGAGAGGTAAGTGAAAAAATGTGTGGGTACATATGTTGTTGTTGTTTTTTGTAATTTGTGTGTACTAACCCTTTAATTAACAACACACCTAGCAGCTAAGTTTATGTAGCAGTCCACCTGTAGTCTCATTCCTTTCTGTTTTCCAAAAATGCCACTGAGTTAAAGTCTGTGTTTAAGAAATTACTAATGTCATCAATAAAAGTAAAGGAGCATCTAAAAAAACGCAACATTTGACTACCAACAAAAAATGTTATATATCATAACACAGCATACAGTATATCTGTGTGTTGCTTTCCTTATTATGGCTCTTACACCATCCATTCCTTCTTATTATCATCCGTTAACGTTAAGTCTCAGGCACACAACTTGTACACATGAATCTGTTTGACACTTGACCATTTTCCCTTAAAAACTTTTCTCTGAAAGTTCATACTTAAGCAGCACACAGTCATACTTAACGTAATTGTTTATACCACACTGCGTAGCAGTTTGGAGCTTCCCACTCCCTTCATCGTCTTCTCAGCGCTCCATCCTCACATACATTCATCACCTCCTCCACGTTCTCCTCATCCCTCCCTTCTTCTCTCACTTCATCACTCTCCCTCCCTCTCTCATTCTGCCCGCCTTCTCTGTCTGTTTTAACATTCACGTTCTTTACCTGCCCTTGTGTCACGCAGTACACTCTGCATGCTAAACACCTCCTCCTCCTCCTCCTCTTCCTCTTCCTCTTCTTGCTCCACGCTTTCTCCTTTACCACTCATTCGCATCCCACTGAAATTACCCTCTCGATAACCCTCTCTTTTCCTTTTTTCCTTTCTTCTCCTGTTTTCTTTTCCATTTCCTCTGACCATGTTGCTTTTGTTTTCACATTTGTATGCACATCTGTCATGGACTCATGGAAGATAGACAGCATATTAAGGCTTTCCCTATTCCCTATGTTGTGTCCCTATTGCTAAATCTGTGTAGCTGCCATGCAGCCTACATGCTACTGTTGGAGTTCATCGCTCGAGTGCAAGAGGATCAACGCATTCTGAATTGACCTCCATGCAAGCCCATAACTGGTAACTCTGTCAAGCTATTGGCTCAGACCAAAATCACTGTAGAAAAGACTGTAGTGTAGAGCATGTATGGTGGAGCTGATGCCTGATGCAAAATGCCTGTTTTTGAGAAAGGAAAATGTATATGAAAATAATAAAAAATAAGAAAGCAGTATTCAACTTAAATTACATTCAATCATTTATTGTGCTGTCTTTTAAAAGTTCAGTTGTAGGAGTAGGTATTGCTTTTTTTGACAACTGGTGGGTGTCGTTTTGGAACAAAACTCTTTGGCACAGGCATTCATGTAAAAATCAAAGCACAAGAATGTTGCTGTGGTTGGTACAAACACAATCAAGCAATAAGAAGCGCAACATTTGCCACAGCTCCATCAAATTATGCAATGAAAAACAGTGCCAGTTGCCAAGCGGCTATTGCACAGATCATACGGACAGGCCGTGGTTGTGTGATGTGTGCTGGGAAAGAGTTGAAATGACTCACAGTTCCGCCACTTACACTGCTGTCGATGATTATGATAATTTGCGCACAGCACTCCACAAGCAGCTTTGTGGAGCGACATTAATCATCCCAGATTCACTCTCTGACTTCCTATACTCTTCACATTCCCCATCATTCTCTTTCTCCTCCTGTCTAACTTCCCTCTCTCTCTCCCTGTCTCCATGTTTTTCTTTCTTTCCCAGTCTTGGCTAATCACACACAGGAGGGGTGCTGCTGCTGAATTTTAATATTCATTTATACAGCAAGCCTTTGATGTCCCCCATCACCCCCTCAGTGCAGTGTAAGCACTTCTCTATCTCCTGCTCTGCCAGCACTGCCAGCCCAGAATATCTCCCTCTGCACCCTGCGCTTTGAGTGAGTGTGTGTGTACTGACTGTAGATATTACCCAAGAAGCCCCAACAATGCTGGAATATATGAGGGCATTGTAAGAGCAAACTGAGGAGTGAGAGATAAATGGACAAAGGGTGAAGGTGGCGCATGAGTGCTGGTTGAATGGCAGGTCAAAAAACAAAGAAGACTCTTTTATAATCACCTACGTTAATAGGGGCGAATCCTAACTGTGGTTTGAGTTTCACACAGAGGTCAATAAGGAATTAACTCATCTCAAACCAAGCCTATCATGGAGTTTTGATCATCTACAGATCTAAGCTACTACACAGACACAAATCCACATATAGCCTACACACACATCAATACAGATTTATAATTCCATCACGTCTGTGTCACAGTGTGTGCATGTTTATATATGCACATGTATTATGTGTGTCTGTGTGGAAACTGCAGCTCTGTGGGGTGTGTCTTTGGTAGTTAACCATGGCCTACTGTCTATATTTAGCTTTAAATCCTCTCCTTTCCCCCCTGTGCTCCCCTGTGTGACCCTCGCTCAGTGCTGCAGGCATTCCCATATCAGAGCATTGAGAGACTGCGCTGCCTTACACAGAGAGAAAGACAGAGAGAGTTTCTGTTGAGTAGCTGCATTTAGTGTATTGGTTTACAAGTAGAAAGATAATGTATCAGAGGAAGTGTAGACTTAAGGTGTATGTGGGAACTCTGCTGTAGCTTGTCAGTTCAGTTACTGTAGCTTGTTGTCCATGTATACAAGGCAATGAGTGTATCTAGTAGTCTTTTCTCAGCCTCTCTTTCTGTGGTATAACTATGGAGGATGGCGAGTTGGTAATTCGGTTGCCAGGGCGATCAAACTCCCCCGTAGGCAACAGGAGTTTCGATGCTGGGTTTGGTGAGACGTTGGTATTGCGGCACAAAGAGGTTCACAACTTCTTCTTCGTCCCCTTTAGGGAGCAGCCCATCTACAGCACTCGGGCCCACGTCTTCCAGATTGATCCCAACACTAAAAAGAACTGGCTGCCCACCAGCAAGCATGCCGTCACTGTCTCCTACTTCTATGACAGTACGCGCAATGTCTACCGCATCATCAGTCTGGATGGCACCAAGGTGAGCAGTTGATTGTTATTGTACACCTTTCACACTCTGTTGAACAAAAAACACACATTTCATCATCCCTCTTCTACTGCATCCATTGTGTAATTTTAATTTCTGCCAACTGACATGATTTTATGAAGATGTCAAACAGTCTTTCAGGAGATTTTAATGGTGCTGTGATCCACTGAGTGTTAATGGTGTTAATAAGCTCTGCACTGGAATCTAATGTGCACACATCTTAAAAGAGCTCATCGTTGCAGCCTATCCCAAGACTGACAGCTCATGTTACATTGTGTGTATGCTTGCAACTACTGTATTTGTGTGTGCATGTCTGTGTGTGTCTGACTGCACTTCACAGTGTACACTTAATGTCTCAGGATATTCTTGTTAGAGATCTGAGAGGGATATATTTGCTGGGCATGGTGTGATTTGAGGTAGCGCGCTCCATGACTGAAGGCAGAGGAGAGTTCTTTATAGGGACAGACCAGTCTCACACATGCACACTCTCTTCCAGTTATAGAGAGAGGAGGGGTAAAGTTAAATGAGAGAAACAGATGACAGAGTGAAAAGAATGTGTGGTAGGAGAAATAAATAGAGCGTCAAATACAGAAAAAGTATGAAGCCAGGTGAACGAGAAGGTTGGAAAAATGTTACTGATGGAATCAAAGCAAAGTCGCACAGTTTGCATTCAGTGATCATCAAGTGTGTGTGAACAACTTCTAGTGGTCAGTTTTGGGAACCATCTCATATCAAAGAACACTCAATAGATATTTGATCATTAAATTCAGCTGTTGTGTAACACACACTCACTGACTGCCTCCCTTCCAAAACTCATCATTATGTATTGATTGCAATCAGAATGTCAACCATTACACAACACTGATAATTGATTTACAATTAATTTGTTCTCCATTAATGTTATTTAACAAAGGAAGTTGAATTATATAAGATTTGGAGGTAGTCTTTGCCTCACTTACATGTTCTATAAAAGATAAAAAACAGCATCTGCCTCTCAATACTTTCTGACTTGCACAACCCTGTCTGTTACACTAAGCCGAAGCCCATTGGTTTCTACTAAAGATGTTAATCTTTAGAAACCAGTCATGAATATATACCTATAGTTGGTTACTCAAACAGGAGTATATAATGCATTGGTTGGAGACTATTTTCAGCAGCAGATTTGGTGCATTAGTAAGTATTTACAGCAGCGGGACTCAAAATAATCTACACTGCTTAACTTGGGCATTACAATGAACTTGGTCTGCTCAACTTTATCGCAATGGAATAATGTGTTATCGTAATGATGAAGCAATATGTAACCAGTGCAACCGTATCACTCATTGATGAATTTTTAATAGTCTATGTCATGGAGGAATAAACTATACTTTGCATTTACAGACAATACTTGTTAGTTGGATGAATACATTGTTGGTTTACGAGTTTTCATGGGTTTTGTTGACAGTAAGGAAAATATTGCCTGACTTACACTTTCACTCAAAGCGTTCACCAACTTTAAGCCAGACCATGGCCACCACCTCATTTCCTCTCTATCAGATATTTCTATCTGCCATTCTGCCTCACTGCCATGTCTGTACATACATGTACATGCTCCTGTTTGTGTATTGCTCTTTGTGTCTTACTGATATAGGACCACTGAATCCATGGCTGAAGGTCAAACTCAGCAGCTCCCTTTCAAGCATAGATTTTCTTTTATTGGTGGGTGTGAGCCTGCGCTACTATAGACCAGAAGCTATATAATGTTCTCTCAAGCTAACCCTGTCTCTAACATACATACAAACACGTACACAAACAGTTGTTCAGATAAAGTATAGTGCCATAAATTTTTTTTTTTGATTAATCGATTGGTCATTTATGGTATATATATATATGGTATATAAGGTATACAAATTGGGAAACCTGCTCGATTACTCAGAAACTCCAGGTGACGCATTAAAATACATTGTTTTGTCCAACCAACTGTCCAAAAAACATTTTCAGACTCAGAAGATTTTCAGTTTACAATTATACAAAACAGAGAAAGTAGAAAATCTTTAAAGACATTTTTATGAAGCATTTTGTATCAGTTGACTAATTGGTTAATCCACTAACTGTTTTGGCACTACTACTGTACTGTTTGGAGAGACCAAGAGACACATGATCGAGGCACTAACACCAACAGTAGAAAGATAAAGTAGATGTGCATCTGAGCTTTTAATATGTAAACAGTGCCGCATGTACAAACAATATACTTTTTTATTGATATTTGTATTTGTAGTCCTGATTTGTGGTGTGAATAATCTTCATTCAGACACACAAAAAGCACGTGTTTAAAATCTATTTTTCTCTTAATCTGACCCTCTCTCTCTTGTAGACACACATACACATTCACACATACATAAACACATTGAACACACTGCAGTAATAAAGTTGATTTAATATGTATTAAGTGGGTTACCTCTGTCCTGCAGGCAATAATCAACAGTACCATCAGTCCCAACATGACGTTCACAAAGACCTCACAGAAGTTTGGCCAATGGGCGGACAGTCGAGCAAACACTGTCTACGGCCTGGGATTCTCCACTGAGCATCATCTAGCCAAGGTACCACCCCCATACACACACACACACACACACACACACATATTCCCACCCAGTCCCTGAGAAAGGATGGCATTTCAACTGTCTTTTTACCATAGTTGTTATAGCTTCTCGTATAGTGTAGAATCTGCTTTTTCTGTGTGTGCCTGTGTGTTTACGAAAGTAATGTATATCTGTGTGTTCACTTGTGTGTGTATGAGTAGGTGGTGGTTTCTCTCCTCTGCAGTATGATTAAGCTCCGTCATGAACTGGGGAGGCTCACAGCATCCCTACTGTCAGATCGACACACACATTACAACCAAACTCAGCAGTATAGACACATCCTCTGTAGATAAAGAGGCAGATAGCAATACCTGATATTAAAGGGATAATGACGTGATCTTGTGACCTCAAGGTTATCCGATCAGGTGCTCTCTCAACCCTCAATAACTTATATATATCTTAAACTTATCATTTCCCCCTTAAACATTTTGTACACTTGTGTTTTATAAGAGTAAAATTCGGGAAAATGACCAGCAGTACAAAGATGGACACACTGGTGGGTGCACCAGAGTTTAAGGGGGCAGTTTATTACTATTGAGAAGTACTATATGTCTTCTGTGACTCTGGAGGAAGTCTGAAAAAGTAATCCTCATGATAATACTAAATTGCTGGAGTACTCCTGCAAGAATTAACACAGCACTCAATCACCAACTATGACTATAAGGCACTAAGACAGTCATACAGTTACTACAGAACAGTATCTACACTCTTCCCCAGGTAATAAATAAGAAACTAATAATGCACAATAATTGACTTTAGTCCATTATTTTCCTATTTTATGAGTATGATGATTGTTTAGTGTCGTTGACTTGTCTTGTTGTGATCTTGTAATGCACATATATAATTTGGTCTCAGGTTTCAAAACATACCTTAATGATACTTTATAAATAAATAAAGCTCACAATAACAAATAAAGGTAAATTGTATTTAAAATTCAGTTCATTGCCTTATATTATTGTCACAAATCAGAAAGAACAAAACAATAAAGTAAAAACATTTTTAAATTTTAAAAATCTACTTCCATTTCCCCAACTTCTTAGCTAATGTAGAGCTTCTTTTGTTTAACTTATTTACACTGTCTGGGGCGTATCAATATGCAGTTTTAACCAGCCAATTAGAAGTATTTTCTGTGGTTTAAAGTTGAAATAATCAGATTCACTTCTCAGATAACTGCAGTGCCAACTCTTCTGAAGCACTTATACTGAGAAACTACTGCATTTAGATGACTGTACCAGAACTATAATATTGCACTGAAGTGAAATGATATTGAGTTATTTGTTGCAACTCCACTAATGGCAGACACAAGACCTGCTCCAGCAGAGTTGTCAATTTGATTTCCTCACCACTCAACCCTCTGCAGTACTGTATCTATAAAATTACTCTGTAACACTGTGGGAGTAGTGTCTGTGATGAACCACACCCTAAAGGGACATTGGGGATATGTGCTTGTGTGTAAGTGCCAGAGTGTTTATATTTGCTCAAAGCCCCTCAGCTGAGCTCACCTTACTGCTTTAGGCTCGCTGGATGTATCTTTGCTCTTGACTAAAATAACCCCAGCGATCATCTTCAGCCACTGACAACTTCTGATTAAAGGCACAAACTCAACGGGGAAAACACAATAACACAGTCTGCTTTGCTGTATACGTGTGTGTGTTTGTGTTTGTATGTGCATATGTGTACGTATGTGATAGACACGTTACTACAGTGACCTAGTTAGCTCATCTTTCAGCTGAGGTATTATGGGTAAGGGCCTTCTTGTCTAAGTTCAACTGTCGTTATTGGCAACAGCTTCTCCCTGTCCTTTCCCTGGCTGCACAGCTGACCTATTATACACTGATCTGTGTGTGTGTGTGTGTGTGTGTGTGTGTCCATGCACATGTGGCTTTACTGAACAGATTAAACCATATTATTATATGAATTTCAGTCCATACTGATGGCTGTCCTCTGTGTCCAGTTTGCAGAGAAGTTTGCAGAGTATAAAGAAGCAGCACGGCTTGCTAAAGAGAAGAGTCAAGAAAAGATGGAGATGGCCACATCTCCCTCTCAGGTACGTTCAGGTTACGCTATCCTAACCCCACCTATTCTGTGATTTTTCCCTCTGGTGTTATTTAGTGTGATTTATTATCACAGGAGACATAAAGACAAAGAAAAGAAGAAAGAACTTGATAGAAAATAAAAAAGAGTCCTACTTAAGTATAAGTACAGTATTGTCAGCAAAATGTGCTTAAAGTATCAAAAGTAAAAGTGGAGGTAATATGCCTCATTATTGCATTATTAGGTTGTAGTAGCATTTTATTTTTACTAGTTTCAACATTATATACAGTTGGTTTAGTCTGGTTGCTCCCAACCGAGTGGTTGGACCCCTCCAAAGGTAAGCCCCCAAATAAATCTGAGGGGTTAGGAGATGATTAATGCGGAAGCAAAAAACACAAAACACTACGCTTTATTTCACAAGTGTGTGTTCATTCTTTTGATTTTTCTTTCTTTTTAATCTTAGCATTTTTTTGTGAAATAATTGAATTTTATTGCTTTGACCGTGAACAATTATTTGAATAAAATGGTAACAACTGGAACATGAAAAGGGGTTCCAACCAGAAATTGCTTTTTTGTGAGGGTTCAAAAGCCAAAAAGGTAAAATCTTTTAATTAAATTGTATTTAAGTTAATCATATGTTTCTCTATATAAACTCTTAAGCTAAAAAGTAACCAGTAATTATATCTAGAAAACTAAAAAAACTATATATAGTAAAAAGTACAATATTTTCTTCTGAAACGTATCATAATTCATATTATAAATGTAGCATTGTAAATGCAAATAGAGAAGTACAAGTACCTCAAAATTGTACTTAAGTGCAGTAACGTTCCACTACTGCGTGACCCCTGGGAGATTCTGACACTGAGGTTAAGAATTACAGTCCTTACATATTATACACCACACAATACGGTTAATTTTCACTGTATGTATGTAGCCTATACATTAAAAGAAAAAGACAAATCTGTCTGTGGATTCACCATAAATTAAAGAACATAATTAGTTTGTATGTTTGCTATTTGTTTGTATGGGATATCTAATAATAGAGTGGTTTAGGGCATGTGTAACTGCGTCTGAGAGAAAATTAGCTTGTTTCTGAGGATCCCCAGAGAAATATGTTCTTTAATCTAAAGGCTGTTAACAGGCTTCATGTCCTCGTCTGTTCATTATGAAGGCTAGGGGAGCAGCCCCCTGCTGTACTGCGGTCTATTACTTGTACTATTAATGCTGCGGCCCACATGGGCTGAAATGCTACAGTACATTGTGCTTCCCATGGGAGGATGTTTTTTAATGAAGCCAAGTGGACAGCTTCGCTCTCATCAGGGGTTGAAGGCTACATGTGCATTGGCCACCACCACACAATAGTGGTGGAAGTGAAGCGATTGCTTTAACGGTAAAGGCTGCAGCATTCCTGCTATAAGACTGCAGTTGTCTGCTGAAGCTGTCTGCTCTGTTTCACTACTGATTGTCACTGTTTCACAGACATGCCTGCTGGCTTTTTTTCCTTACCTTCAGCTCCTCTCTAGTCTCTCCTCTGAATAAACTGGAAAACATGAGAGAGGAATTATTCCATTATAACAAAATTAGATAACACAGAGCTAAATGCTATATGCTGGTCCCAATAGACCAGACCCCAGTGGAAGTGCACCATGATACATGGTATACTAATGAATGTGGAGTGCAAAATGTAATGCCGGCCCTAATCTTCCTCTTATCTCTCACTTCCTTCTTGTCCATTAGAGACGTACAGGCAGTGTCATTGTGCTACTGTATTGTGCCCAGGCCCTGAGTCTTAACAGCTTTGTTTTATGTACGTGCAGCAGCTAAATGATTTGTCTCTTGTTTTATGGGATATAAAGATAAGAATTAATCTGTAATTCTGCAATTTCCCAGTGCTATAGTAAGCTATTTATTGGCCTATAGGCATGTGGAACTGCTCACTAAGATGCTCATATTTTTAGCACCCCAGCAAGAGCTTTATGAGTGTAAGAGACAGCATCTCCCCCACCCCTAAAAACACATAAACACACCTCAATTATTTCTCATGTCAACTCCTTATAGGGGAAGAATGATGAATATAAATGTATGAGTTTGTTTTTATCTGGTAAGAAGAGGTCATTGAGATCACTCAAATTAATTATCTTATATTTAATAATATTAATATTATTAATAATTATACAATTATTTTTTGATTAAACAATTAGTCAATTGACAGAAAATTAATTTAAAGCAATTTTGATAATAATTGAATTACTTTCATTGCTTTTCTCAGTTTTGTAATCATTGCAGATTAATTGTCTTTGAGTTTTGGGCTATTGATCTGACAAAACAAGAATTTTAAGATGTCACCTTGGGCTCTGGTGCTGAAATTTTATTGGGTAAACAATTAATTGATTAATTGTAAAAAATTAAAAAATTAAAAATAAAAGAAATTCAATAATGAAAAGTTGCCCCAAAGGGGTGCTCTTATTTTTCCCTTTCACTTGAGCCACACTGTCTATCTTTGCATATGCTAAATACTACCCAGTTCTCTATTTAATCTAAACAAATCACTGTTTCTACTTTTGGTAATGTTAAACGCACCATTTCCTTTACGCCTAAGGCTGTGTCTCTGGCTGGAAAACAACTAGGAACCATTAGTGTAAGAACTAAAAGTGTAGCAGATGTAAAAGCTTTTGCGAACTCACTATAGGTTAAATCATTACTATTTTAATATAATATAATAATATATTTTATTGACATTTGGGAGTATCATACAGATATTTATAAGGAAATGTCAGGGAATGTTGTTGAGCTTGATATGATATCACAATTCTTTCCTGCCTTATAATCATGACTAATTGTGCGAATAGTAATAAAATAATTAACATATAGTTTGGTTAAATATATATTTGACTGATTATTTGATGTCTAACCAGCAGTACATGTTTCACATGTAGGAGTCTCCAGGAGGTGAGCTCTCGTCACCATTGACCCCTGTGACGCCGCCCATGGAAAACATCAATGGCACAGATGAAATCTGTGACACGACTCCCAATTCAGACACCCTTCCAGGGCCGGCACAGAACGCACTGGCCTTCGCACACAGGTAAATCCCACACTGTGATGTGTTCTTTGTCCCGTGTTGTCATGTTTACCACAGTACAGATGTACAGTGACAGTACACCCTGACCATTTACACTGTCACCGTCACATTTCACATATATTACATACTACAATACTAAAATATATGATTTATTATGATTTTTTTCTATGTTTTTATGAGGCACAGAAGTACATACCTCTCTCCTTCTATGTCTTTCTTCTCGTCTGCGTGCACCTATATATGTTACATGTCAGCATGGGAGTGAACTCCCTCTATTCATTGCTGCTCTCTCGTGTTTTTCCTCTCTAGGGAGCAGTTTAAGACTTGTCGGGTCTGCTCTTTCTGATAGGGATGTCATTACAAGTCCAGACTACTGCGACATCATAACTACGCAAAAAACAAATGTTCAGGCACAAACTTTCCAAAAATAAGAGCCTGATTGCAGGTCAGCAACAGGGAGGGTCTTCTTTACAATAATGCACTGCCTGTTTACTAACTGCTAATGAATAAGGTAACAACAGCGTGCCATCACTCCAGTCAGAAGGAACATGGGCGAATTATCAGTGACATCTTACTCACACACGGACCAGCAAAATATGTTACTTTAAGTGTTTCTCAGGAATGAGGAATTATTCACGTGATTATTTTGTCTAATCTAAGCATGCTTTGTAAGGAAACTCACATATATTTATAGTTTTATGTTTGCCTACTGCAATGCAATAATATCTCTATGCATGCACCACTACTGTTGTATACATTCCTGTTGTCTTAGTGTCCTGTTAGCAGACTGAATATTGAAATGGATAATTCACATTCCTTGTGATTGTGAGTACTGGTTCATATACAGTATATTGTGTAAGATAAAGACGTCAAAGTGCCATGTAAATATGTTTGATTTGTATAATGGCTTTCTGAAGAGGTGTGGCTGTGAGGTTCATCACCAAAAAGGTGTTGATGAAGCGTTTATGTAAGACTTATATAACATACTGTGGGTAGTGGGAGGCAGAGAAAGAGCAAGACAGACAGAGAGAGAGAGAGAGAGTGTGTGTGTGTGCGTGTGTGTGTCAGAAACTGGGAAGAGAGAACGATAGAGAGAAAGGTGCACTGTATAAAATCTGTACATGAGTCACCGCTACCTAAACAGCCACAAAGTGCACACACACTCACTACAATAAATAAACTGAACAGGAGGTCATGGATAATCAGTTTGAGTCATTTGAGTGAGTGAAGTGAGGAAATGTTCCTATTATCTACTGTCACCTGTAGTCAACTGTACACACAGGTCTTTTCATTTGTAAAATCTCTGTAATCTTGTGATACTCATTTCGTTATTTCTCTGGCTGCGATATTTATTAATTAAAGATATCAATCAATCGCTTAATGTATTATCATTCTTTTTTGCTTAACTATGGGTGTCTTAGAGGAGACTTAAAATACTTTTTTATATTTGAAGATCATTGTAGAGGTCTTTATAGATAGAGGTATTTTCATTAGGGTGTTAAAGTCTGTAAAGCTGTGACAAGCTCAAGTGCAAATGCTTAGAAATCCCTACCGCTACATCATGAACTCTGTAAGGCTACACAGATCTGAGTGTGCAGAGAGAGCGGGATGTAGAGAGGACACCCACTGCCTGCTGCAGCATTGCTGCTGATGTGTCTATTAATGCTGCATGCGTGGGAGACGGGGTCGACTCTCAGCATTCGCAATGGCAAGCATGGACGTAACAAGCAAAACCACATTTTCTCAGAGGCATATGCAGAGAGGGTAGATGATAGCACCATCCAGATATTTTATCAAATAACCCTCTCTTTTTCTATCTTTTCTCTCTATAATTCTTACTTCCTAAATTTAATATCTACTGTGTGCATCATCTCACATTACCTTTTACAGTAGCTCTATCCGCCTCTCATGTGCCTCAAACTGCAGTCAAAATGTATTTTCTGGCAATTTGTGTAATGTTGTATAAGCCTGTAGTTGATTTAATAGCACAAAGAAAAGAATAAAATGTTTTTAGTGTGTTTTGAATGTGTTTATTTGTATATTACATCATGAGAGTTCAGACCTACATATAGAAACAGAACTGCATACGCAAGTGTGTGCTGTCTTTTTGCGGCAGACCTCTAGGATTGTCTTGGTTTGTCTCCCTGCCATGTGTCTGGAATTAGATGATGATAACATATACACCACACTGCTGCTTAGCGGGGCTGTGTAGGCAGGTATGTGTGGGTGCAGAGGGCAGAAGAAGAGAGAGGAGGATGAGATACAGGTGTATGCAGGACTGTGAGAGGTTTTTTTATATTGCAGGATGTAGGCGTGTTTGGCAGGTCTGCAGTGGAGTTGTTTTTGAATGGTGTTCTGAATATTGGAACACCTTTTGTTGGGACTGCCTTGGCTGCATGTGAATGGTCTTCTAGTGTTGGAGGATGTAGGCGTCTGTCGGTGGGCTTGTGGTAGGCTTGTGTGAACGGAGACAGTGCCGATGTCATACGTCAGGGTGCCATGAGCGCTCCTCAAGTGCTGCCATGGCAACTGCTCTGGCTCCCTGCTTCTTGAAGTGCTCCATGCGGAGGAAGAACCTACCTGACAATGCGCAGCGGTCAGGACACAGCAGAAACACAAGAGGGCTGTAAAAAACCTTCAGTGTTATGCAAGTTTATGTTTTGTGTTTGGTAGCTTTATTGAGCATGGGAGGAGCAATATACTTAACATTTTGAAGTAGTTAAACACAAAATAGAGTGTTAATTTTTTATTCAGGAGTCATGGTATATTGGCAATGTGTACAGAATATGTCCAAACCAGAAAAAAAAACATTCAAAATTAAATCCAGACAATAAACAAAAAAAATATTTTATATTAATTAAAAGAAAAAATGCAATAAAGAATCAACCTGATACTCCACAAAACTGGTCCTGTGCTTTCTTGTCATGACATATTTTTAGTTTTTTAGAATATTGTTCATGTGAAACAAATAAAAACAGATAAACTCTGTAACACTAATTCCAATCTTCGGTATCAGATTAGAAAAACTGTTTTAAACTGATACAAAGATCGTTGCTTCTTCAATTCAATTCAGCATCACACAACTGGCTCTTGCATGACTAGGAGTGGAATTATAACAAAATGACATAATGATCAGAAGCTAAAAATATCAATAGCTAATAAAATCCTCATGACAAGACATTCATATTGTGTACATAATTACATCTTTTCAATCAGCAGCTCAGTGACACAGCAGCAACTAACTTACCCTCCATGTGTCTCAAACACCTTCAGCTCTGCTCTGCTGTCTTCAGCCAGAATTGTGCTCAGGTGCCCTCCTGAAACCTTTCAGCCAGACTCATTTAATGAAGACGAACACCAGTGTCAAAACATCTTGCACTCTGTTCTCTCCTCTAATTCTCCCTCCATCGCTTTCCCATGCTTTCTCCGACTGTTTCCATCTTCACATCTTGGTGTCTCGCTTGCTCTCCTGCTCTCCGAGCTGGTGTGTGGGGTTTATACATTGGCGGGGCTACGTGCCTTGGTGACAGCATCTCTCCATGTGTGTATGTGTGTGTGAGTGGTTGTGTGTCAGTTGATATGTGCATGTGTAGGATGAAGTGTCGTCTCCCTCCTATGCGTCACACACGCAGACACACTTGCACTCACAGAGGGGGTGGCTGTTGTGTAAGAACTGAAGGCGCCGTGGGAGTCCAGAGTGAATTAGATCTGGGCTTTCTCTCTTTTACACTTCACAGAGTGGGTGTTATGGCATAGTGGAGTACTGCTGCAGTGTGTGAGCATTATATATGTGTGTATGTGTCAGTGAGGGGGTGGAACAAAACCGAAAACAACATTGTTATGGGTCATACACAGACCCTGATCACTCCTTGAGCGAGCTAAGCTTCCTTTTGTGTTTTTCTGTGTATGTGTTTCCACCGCTGTGAGGAATTACTGTGAAGTATGTGGGAGTAGGAGCACCTTTTCAAAAGAAACTTGACTCGATGTCGGTACTCAACAACGTTTAGGTCTCTCATACAGTCTCATGCCTAAGTCAGACATTATGTGAAAAACAGGGAGCGAGCATTATGTAAATCTTAAATGAATGCCTGCAGTGCTCATATGTAACAAGGGAGAATCACAGCAGAAGCATTTTCCCTCCAGAAAATTTAGGTTATACATATATCTTATATTACACTTCAACTCTGAACTATCGACAACCCAGCTCATATTCAAGTTTTTTTTTCTCCCACACAGGCCTCTGCATCATGAAATTCAATCACATTCAATCACTTCTCCCTTATCTCTCATCTCATCTTCTCATCTGTGAGTAGCTGGACCAGATTAGGCTCCAGCCAGTCTGAGGATATAATCTCAGATTACAACTCATGTGGCAGACATCTGCTTTCACAGCTACTGGCCAGGAAGTGCCGACCTCCAATTTGAGTGCCCGCTGCAGCCTTTGTCAGATTTCAGTGCTACAGCAGAGATGGATGCATGCATGCATGGATAACTGACTGATCCCACTGAGCACAGGCCTAGGGCATCAAGGGGTCATGAGGCCCTGGACTTTACCTGCAAAATGTCAATCAAAGACACAAATATGCTCAAAATGACAACAAAGAAACTCAAAATGACCCTAAAGAGACTTAAAATGACTAGAAAGACACTCTTTCAGTCCTCAAAATCTCTTGCTCCTATTTAGGTGAGGCAGGGGGCCTTGGGTGGATGGATGGATGGATGG